ACCTTCCCCCTCAATTCTTTAAATAAGTTAATGCGTCTTTCAAGCATGGTTTCCCGGCGGCCCACAGTGGCCCAACATAAAGTGGAGACCTCGAGTGTGCGCAGTAGGTCTTTTACAATTCGGAGGGTGGGGGGGAGGAGAAAGAGTGCTCAAGTTCACATTTACTCTTTGTCGCATAAACACAAGCAGATTTGAAATACTTTCAAGTGGAGACATTCCAAAAGGAAAAGTTACAGTTGTATCCATGCTTTCGTGATATCCAACCTATTTCGTTTCCTTAATATCAATTCGTTTCTTGGTCAATTTCAAATTTTCAAATTTTCAAATTCCCATTGCAGCTTCGGTCATGTTTCAGTTTTGGTGACGGCACAATAATATGCACGGAAAAATTGTTCTGTTTCTGAAAGAATGAAACTTCCTGTTATCTATCATGTCATCTTAAGTTTTTAAAAAATCCTCAGTACCTTATGGGATCAACTTTGTCGGCGTTCTTTTCCTTACTTAAACAAACAAACAAACAAACAAACAAACAAACAAAAACAACAACAACAACAACAACATCCATAACAACAACCAAAGGAAACCCAAGGAGATTAAGGCGTACGAAGATTTCAATCTCCAACTGTCGAATCAACGTTGGAGAGTTTGCCATGACACGGGCTCTACAATGTTATTTCCTCTTGGATCAGACAAACACGTCCCTTTCAAAGCTGTCTGTCCGACAACAAAGAACGATATTTTGAGCTAAACCTGTCCAATCAAAACAATCAGACTGTCTTTTTCTATTTCCTAAAGAAAACCCTTCCTTCTATTAGTTTATAAATGCCACCCAATGAGTCTCTCAATTCATACAGCTGTTTTTGGAACTCATTTAAAGTTGCTTTGATTCAAAGAATTGGATAAACTATTCGCCAGTCGCAGTTTTACAAGGTATTAAAACACAGAAACTGGCAATAAATTGTATGTGCAGTTTTCACATTGCCTACACCTACGACCACCAACGGCACACAATATTTTATCAATTTCACCCGAATGTAGAACAGAATGGTTACGAACATAATATTGAGCTATTTATTGTTGCTCTTGACGATTTTAGTTCTCTTTGCATCTTTTAAGATAAGAATCATTGTTATGCGGTGTGTGTACGTGTGTATGTGTGTATGTGTGTGTGTGTGTGTGTGTGTTTGTGTGTGTGTGTGTGTGTTTGTGTGTGTGTGTGGATCGGTGCGAGTGTGGGTGTGGGTGTGGGTGTGTGTGGGG